CCGTACTTTTTCTCTCCGTCGCGCTCTTTTTTAAACTTAAACTTAAATTTATGTACTCTAATTTGTAACTTTAATTTGTAACTGAAAAACCTGTCAAATCTTCTGTTCAACCTTATATTTCTTTTGTATAACGAAACTTACCCCGTAAACAAATAAATAAATAATATTTATTATTAGGTCATTTTACGACCTAAAAGGAAGTTATGTTTCATGAAATTTCATTAAGAATCTCCTAAACAATCTGAAATTTCCAACACAGATCTAAAGCAATAAGAACCTCGAACAAAACACGAACTATTTCCAATTTTATTTTCTCCTTGCCACTAAGTTTGTTCAAAACACTCCTTTAAAAGGATTTACACATTTATATATAGTTGCAAATACTATATAATTCACTAACTAGTTATTTGAATTAAAGATTGTAGAACAGTGTAATTATAATTAATGAACAATCTGTTAACACCAGCGTTATTGACGCGAATCTTATGACACATCAATCCGTTAAGTTCTCGCGCTTCATTCCTCATGGTTACTGTTTCCGCACGATGGAACTCTTCCGAAGTAGTCATAGTGACGCGTTCCCGCCGCTGAGAGTGTTATCATTTGAGCTACAAGCACTTAATTTTCCGGGGGGTTGATTCCTACCCCTACGGGATACAGCCACCGGCGTGCGTCTGCTCCATTCTGTTATCTGCGCCACGTGGCGAACCCTGCGCACGGTCCGCGAACCACGTGTTGTTACCCTGTACACAGTAGCGTAGATCCTGGTGCACCGATAGTGTGCAAAGAAGGATCATAACCTTCGATTAAACGCAAATACCCCGATCACGATCACGATAATGCCTCTATGTGTTCGAGGGCGTTGTTTCGACTACTAAGCATTCCTGTGAACCACCCTTCAATGGCTAACGAAAAATAAACAAACTCTTTTTGCTGTCTCAAACTTTCAGATTTCCAAATTTGTTAATTCATAACGTTTCATAACGTAATTTCTAAAAATTACTTTTTATTGCATAATGTAGGTCGTTGATATCAGTAGAAAAGTTAATATCAGTCGTTGATATGTAGCGTTTGTATGAATTACCAAATCAACAAACTTCTATATAATAAAGTTGTAGGAGTTATAATATATAAAGTTCTCAAACGCCAAATTCTGGAATTCCAGAATTCTCTGATGCTGAATTCTAAAATTTCTAGACTTCTTAATTTACAAATTACAGAATTTCCAAAATTCCTGACTAAAAAGTCTTGAAATTTCCAAATTCCAAAATGTCTAAATTAAAATTTTCTAAATTCTTCTGTTTCAAAATTCTCAAATTTTCGAATTTTCTAATCTGCTAATTCTTAAATAGACAAATGTTTAGATTTTCTAATTCTGGACTTACCACATCCATTTCCAAATTCTGGAATTTCAAAATTCACAGAAATTTATAGTGCTCACACACCTATATTTCAAAATTTACAAATTAAAGAATTCTTTAATACTGACATTTTGAAACGGCCAAATTCATAAATTTAAAAATTCTTCAATTTCCAGTTTCTAAATTTCCTAAATTTTGATGTTATCAAATTTTCAATTTTTCTTAATTTTCTGAATTCCCAAATTTCTGAGTGTCTGAATTTCAAAGTTAAAAATCCCTCATAGTTGCAAAGTTTCCAAAAGTTACAAATTTCCGAACGTTTAAAGTACTAAATTCTCTAAACTAATGTTCTATAATTTTTGAATTTCCAGATTTCTAAAAAATATTTTCTCATGCTTATTACAGGTTGTTTATATCAGTAGTAGAGCTCTATGATCAGGCCGACGCTAAAAATCTTGGTTACGCCAATTTTTGTACTATAGCATGTTTTATTAAATTTTCAATGAAATAGTGCGATGTATTAAAAGCCATTGTATTATTTATCTATAAATAATAAGATCTCCATAAGACACAAACTGTTTATTTAATTTTATTAGAAATGACAAGTAAGGTCATGTATTGGCTAAAACTTTATGACATTGAGCTCAACATAATTGTGTCATAATATACTCCACCTTTGCTTCCGTGATGTTTCAATATATGTATTTATCGACAGATACTAAATTACAAAGAAAACGGTTTCATGTGACACTTATATCAATAGGAATTTTACTACAAAGCCCGGAACTTTATTTTTATGGACACCATTATGTTTAACGTAATTTTAAGGCTGCATCTACCTATTCGGTTACTAGCCGCAATGACGTTGTTGTCGAGCATATTTATATCAATTGAAATATATTTATATTCTTAAGAAACGTTTAGGTAACCTTTGCCAAGGTAATACTGTTCAAGATTTTATATAAATTCTAAAGAATTTTCTACGAATCGATTATAATTATTAAGTATAGATGCGTGAGGTTCGCATATTCTTTGTCTGATTAGAATAACTTAATATCGTCTAATTAGAAACAAGACAGGCTTTGTTCGATGTGTACAAAGATGTATTTATGACATTGGAATTTTCATTCCGTTATACCATTTTTCTCCACAATTTTCAATTATAATTTCTTATTTCCTTCTAACAAATTTTGATATTATAGATACTGTTATAAAACGTGTTGATAAAAGTTTTCATTTAAAAATTATAAAGAAGGTCTCAAAGTATACCATCAAAAAATAAACTATAGTACATTTAAAATTCTTGTCTCACAGAAAAAATGGTGCGCAAATGCAGTTTTAAACCAGGTTCACGGCATAATTTAAAAAATTAACCTTAAAACAGATTACGAACAATGCGTGACAATTCATTAATTGAAAGGGTATAAATACTTTTGCGACTCACTGTACATAAGATGAAGTAAAGTGAATTTCATAGTATATACCTGTATGTCTATTGTGCAAGAGATATAGTTACCTTTTTGAATTATTTTGTTTCGTGTCGCGTCCCCCGGCTCGTAAGTGCCTATAGGTACCTGCACCATTTTAGCAGATTAAATTATCTTGGGGTTGGTCGGTTACGGAGGTAAGAAGAGCAGTAGGGAGAAGAAAGAGGCGACCGAGAACGAAGAGGGTTGGGGAAACAGAGCTGATGTTAGTTTTAGCTGATTAAATTACTAAGCTGCGGTGGCCTTGCGTCGGCAGAGACCGTTCCTCAATTCCTTTTATTAATCGGATCCAAGTTGTCGTGAGCTTGAATATCTTTCAGAGACAAACGACTGAACTATGCGTTAAACTACACTTATACGAATATAAAAGATTGTTTCCGTTCATATCTTGAATATAAAAGGATCGCTAGGAAATCGCGAGTCTATTTTACAGAATGTTGGAGTCAAATTTTAGTTTATAGAGATCCTCTAATCAGAGTCACGAAATAATGTATTAATTTCGATTGCTGGCATCTTTTGATGATGAAGTAATTATAATTTGTAGTATAAATAAAACCATTCTTTACAATTCAAATTCAACGGTACGAATTTAATTGAAAAGTGGCGGTTTTAACATTTTTTACACTATTTCGGAACTTTAGTGGACTATCTGTTAATTTATTACTTACGATTTCAATTTAATTTTAAATACCTTTTAATTTTAATTTTTTAAATATATCTATTTCCCGATGTACACTGTAAATAGGATTCCCAGAAATCCGCGTATATCGAAATTATCATCGATTAAACCAGTAAATTTCCAAAATCACCAATCGTTAGTTGAAAGTAAATATTTAATTTATATTGTGGCGGACCGCTGCCGAAAATTCTCGACACGCGCGCGAACGCTCGCTATGCGGCACGAGCGTGAAAGAACATTCGCGAACGCTCGCTATACGGCGCGAGCGTGGAGGAACATTCGCGTGGCCAGGACAATTGACTATATAAATTGGCCGGTTCGCGATCAATCAGTCAGTCGATGTCCAGCTCTCACTCCAAAAGCTTCGAAGTTCAACAACGCGCGTTTGCAAATACTTGTACTAAGTCGGATTTTATAATTTATAATTATAGTTATAGTTCCTAGTACATAGTTAATTACTTTCGTCTGTAAATAGTTAAATGTTTAATTTAATAAAGTAGTTAAGTTATTTAAGTTAATTAATCCACGCAACCACTTCAATATAAAGCTCGAAGTTCAAGCTTAAAAGTTTCATAACAAAAAAATAAAAAATATTGGACATCTATCCTTACATTGGCATTGTTAAATGTTTGCTTTTAACCAGTCTTTTATTAAAACTGGACGTAAACCTGATAAAAAGAGAAATGTCTGAAGATTGTATTTGCAATCGTTAATTGTTCTGTAACACTTAAATTAAATCGCTTAATACCACATTACAAAACTTTATATTACGAAAAAGATAGGTTTGATGAAAACAGTGAGAATGAATCCATAAATTTGCGTTAACGCACACATAATATAGATCAAATCGCGAAAAGTTGTAAAACTATTATATACACTGAATTCTTTGTTAAAGACTTATCGTAGAATTATTTAGTTTTATTTAGTTTTTAAGTGAAATTGTATAAGTATGTCCAGAGTAGGAGATGTCGAAAATCTCCGGTAATAAGGGACAGTGGACGGAGAACCGCCAAGCGGGACCTTTAGGCTGGTCCAGGAGCAAAGCCGCTATGGTAGATAAGAGTAGAATTCGAGGAAAGTCGGAAAGGCCCGAGCGTGTCGCGAACATTGCTTGAGCGAGGTCCAAATATTCATTATAAATTTGTCGATTAAAGAAGCAAGACGTATCTGACTCGCTCTCACAAGAAATATTATATTCGCGAATTAATTAATTATTTTTACTAGCGTGGTTTTGTTCGTCAATTACTGGTAATATTTTTGCGTTCTATAAATCCTGTAACTTTCATCTGTAACTTTCTTCTATAAATACGTATAATTTGTATTCAAATTATTTATATAAAACTTGTTAACCAATCCCGATTTTGCTTTCTTTTATTCATTGTTAGTTTATCAATTAACATCCTTTAAATATTGTATTATTTTCACGACCATAATAAATATGATATATTTATTAAAAAGGGCACTGAACTTTACCTGTTTCGTCGCAGAGTCGATGAGTCTCACGTAAATATCCTGCACCTGTCTAACACCTGTAACAATGATAGAAGAACTTTAAGTTTCACGTGAATATGTATGAATTTTTTATTTGTGCTTATATATATCAAAATATTAATTAACCCATTAAAGTAAAAGCAGCTTTAATTCTGTTATCTATAATCCTCACAATAAAGGAGTGCAAGAACCAGGAAAAGGTAAATATAGACGCAAGAAGAATATCGAAAAGAGAAAGAGATGCTATTGAATAGATACGAAATATTTTGGCAAAAAGGAAACAAGTAGGTGAATGAAATATATAGGGGTTGAAGAACATATATTTCGTAAACTTTGTAAAGTTAGTATTACTAGAGTATGTACTAATACCTAGATAAATGTAACCCCTGTTTTAAAACCGAAACGCACGAAATGAATCCAGTACTATTATATATTTTATTATTATGTATAAAATTATATATGAGAAACGAATTTATCATTTTCCATTTTTAAATAATAGTTTATTTGTAATTTCCGAATTGTCATCATACTTAAATTATCTACTTAAAACTAATCTAAAATTTAAGTCTAAAATTTAGCTTAAATTTATATTTATAGAAACTTATAATTATAAAGAAATTTATAATTTATAGAAACGTAATTAAGATACAATATAGAAAAAATAAATAATTTGTTAAAGATTTCTATTTACATCAAATTTTTCGTATTTAAATTTAAAATATCTTATATATTGTAGTCTTTTAGTCACTGTACTTTTTCTGCTGCAAATGTAAGTACATAGATAAATATTCGAAATAATTTAAATAATCTGTTTATATAAAAAAGGATATAGATACAGTTTCATTTTGAAAACAGAGACTAGGAAATCTCGAAAGATACAATTTTCGGATAACTTTATTCCTATAACCTAATTCCTACTCAAATATACAACAATATCTCTGACACGTAAGTTTTGACAATTAATTAAATAATGAAAGATAGCAGAATTAGATGGGACGGCTTGTAATAATTGTTTCTTATCACGTACAAAGAATAGAATATAAATTTAAACACATTGAATGCTTCGCAATAAGATAGTATACTATTCTTTCTCATTTCTTTTTTATATAACAAAATAAATTTGCATAACAATATTTTCTTGTTTATAATGTAACACAAAAACCGATGTTTCTTACTAATTATAATACTAATACAACTAATCATTCCCTTTTTAACAAAGAAGGAATGGTATCAAACACATTTGAAATTTAAATGTTTATGAAGCATTTATCTGACTTAATATAGAATTGTAAAACAGAAAATTAATGTGCTGGCTTTACAATCATTAACTCAGCTGTAAACTTATTCTGTACCCATGCAGTTTCCATTATTTGCATATTTTAATTTATTAAACTGAAATTACACATAGTTGTGCAGAAAAATATGTTAGTTATAGAAAATGAGTATGATTTGAAAGTAAATACAAAAATATCTGTATATTGGTGGCAAACGGCATATTATAATTTAATTACGGTAGAACGTGTTACATCATACCTGACCGCAGCGCCACTGAATTATGGAAATAACTTGGGATTAAAAGAATTAAGTACAGCAGAGAGCAATATCAGCAAACGAGTACATTTTATATCCATCGAATCAGAATCATCTGCAAGAATGTTAATTTTCTGACGACTATATTGCAAATAGCATAATTGTTAAGATCTATCATTTTAATTACTTAAATTATTATTCAATATACAGATAATTATAATATTTTATTATTTATTGTTCCTAATTTATACAACTGATTTTTATACAACAATGGAAATTATAAAATTCCTGAATCGCCAAATTTAATACAACACTTTTAGAGTCTATTTACTTAAAACACTTCACTATATGTCAGCAGTTACCATGCTACTCAATTTATAAACAACGATTTTTTATATTTGATACAATAATAAAAATATATAGGCCTTGATAAAATAGCACCATATAAAAAAGTAGTATAACAATTTACAATATAAATTATTAACCTGTACATTCGAGAAATCTAGATTAAAAACTTCCGCACTATGTTTATTTATTACCATACAGCATACAAGCGGAAACAAATCTACGTGGTTCCATCACTTGTTGATATTTAGTTACTAAACATGCAAGCTCTTTAACTTAAAAATTTTCAAATCGAGAACATTTGAAATTTGGATATTTGGAAACTTAAAAAAATATGTAATCTTGTATGTTTAGAAATGAAGAAATTTCTAAATTTGGAAATTTAGAGATTCAAAAAATTGGCGATTTAGGATTTTCAACTTTAGAAACTTGAGTATTTGTGGAAATTAGAAATCAGAAGATTTAGAGTCTGTAAACTTAAAAATTTGGAATATGCAATATTTAAAAATGTTTTAATTAAAAAATTTGAAAGTTTTGTAAGTTTAGAAATTCGAGTATTTTTAAATTTTAAGGTTCAAAAATTTGGCAAGTTAGAATTTGTAAATTTAGAATGTTAAAAATTGTAATATTTAAAAACTAATATGTAGAAGCTTGATATTTGAAAATTCTAAAGTGTGTGAACTTAAAAGGATCAACTTTATATATTTCCTCTACTTGTCTTCCTCCCTCTACAAAATAAAATTCACATCACCGACGCTATAGTTGTAACACCTTCACACGTACATATTGTTTTGAAGCGAGTTAATAAATAATATTAGAACCACCAGTATTAAATGTACACTTATTTAATTGAAAAATGAAGTGGAAAATTAAATCAATACATACTGAACTATGTACCCATTCATAGTTTCAAGATATATCAGACATTTTGATGTAAACACGTGAACAAAAGTGTGCAATTTAAAATGTGAGACCTGGAACCAGTCATTCCAACCGGTTGGTAGTTCTAACACTAATAAACCTCTTTACAAAAGTTCTCTAAAGCCATTCGATTTGGTTAAAAACACGAAAACTGTTGAAAATATTGAGTGGTCCTAATTCGATGTCCAGGGGCTGTAGTTATGCCCTTTTTTGGAACCGAAGGCAGTTTCGTGTAGTGTTTTTTCTTAGGTTAATATAAAGACAACGCTGCTCTTTATTTAATTTAGCCCAAGTGTTTTTCAATGATACGGTAAGAAGGCCCCATTAAGTTAAGAGCGTTGCGCGCAGGCATTTGCTACGGATGTGCATGGAATACGACGAATACGGAAACGAGTCCGAATTCTGACAAGTTCGGCGCCGCTGAAAGGATCTGTCGCAGAAAAACATACATATTAAGGAGCATTTAAGGCTGACGACGAGGTAAGCGGGCCCGATCGCATCCCCGGGGACGTATGCACAATCTCCGTTGTTTTTGCATGGGCCCAACCCGTACTTTGTACCCACTCGAGTACCGACTTTACCGAGCAGATCGCTATGCAATGAACCATGGTAGCAAGGCAAATTCTTGTACGTGTAGTGCGTTAATTATTTTTAAGACTTTAGTTACGCGAAACAAGCCGTTTTCGCCGCTTCGAGGAACTTAAACGCCGCCTAAACGGATACCTCTTGATTCATGGACGTGTTGTTATGGCTGATTAATTACACCACCGCTGTATACCCCAACATTTTTTATAACCGGTACCTTTCATCAATTCTTAAGAAACTTTTGTTGTTAATTAACCCCTTGCCATACTTTGACAAGTCTGACTCATGACGCACTCGCACTTCAACGGTGATAAATCTTACACGGATTTTGAATATGCATCAATTCGAAAGTTAAATCCAATTATAATTCGCTTCGTTAAGATTTGCTGACTGTAAAACGGACATAACTTTTATTGGAATTTACATACATTTCTTGTAAATTTAACGTTTTTGTGTCTATAAGAAATTTTTGTTATTAATTAATATAAACTATATGAATCAAATGTAAGTTATAAATAAATCTTATTCGAATTGCCAATACACTTTAAGCAGAAGTAGAAGGCCAATTATGATTTGTATATTCAAGGATCGTTAAATGAAAAATCGATATGACATTTTACCTTTTTTTATTTATTTTAATATTATAGCAATTGATAATTAGCGAGGGCTAAGGCATCTGACAAATAAATTGTATGTAAAGGAGTTAAGATTATAAAAACAACACCTGACTCAATAATTGAGTATTAGTTAATTGAGTATGAGAAGTCTCACGTGTGACCAGTTTGTAAGGTACCTTAGGGTAAAGTTACCCAACATGGAGATCTCTCCTAATATGAGATCCAACTTATCTTGGTTGCAGAGCTTTTAAAGGTCATAGGGATGCTGTTTTATTTCGTAACTAATCGTGTATGTTTTATCCGCACATTGACTTCGAAACTAATTAAATGTCTTCTTGAGCAATTAGATATTTGTAAAACATGCTGCAGACAGTGGTGATTCAATTAAACTACAAATACCTCAAAGTGCAAGCTTATAATTTTTAAATATCAACGTTTATCAAACGTCCAAAATTTGTTAATTTCTAAATCTTCAAATCAGCCAATTTTCGAATCCATAAACAGCTAAATTTCTAAATTTCTAAATTTCTAAATTTCTAAATTTCTAAATTTCTAAATTTCTAAATTTCTAAATTTCTAAATTTCTAAATTTCTAAATTTCTAAATTTCTAAATTTCTAAATTTCTAAATTTCTAAATTTCTAAATTTCTAAATTTCTAAATTTCTAAATTTCTAAATTTCTAAATTTCTAAATTTCTAAATTTCTAAATTTCTAAATTTCTAAATTTCTAAATTTCTAAATTTCTAAATTTCTAAATTTCTAAATTTCTAAATTTCTAAATTTCTAAATTTCTAAATTTCTAAATTTCTAAATTTCTAAATTTCTAAATTTCTAAATTTCTAAATTTCTAAATTTCTAAATTTCTAAATTTCTAAATTTCTAAATTTCTAAATTTCTAAATTTCTAAATTTCTAAATTTCTAAATTTCTAAATTTCTAAATTTCTAAATTTCTAAATTTCTAAATTTCTAAATTTCTAAATTTCTAAATTTCTAAATTTCTAAATTTCTAAATTTCTAAATTTCTAAATTTCTAAATTT